ATTAATCAACACCTACATAATTAAATAGGATAGTTCAACGGGACAAGGCACAATGATAAATCATAAATGAGCAAAAAAATTAAAACCACTCGTTTTTTAGGTGTATATAATATGTAGGTTAGACGTGAAAATGGACAAACGATAAGAAAAATAGAGCCATGGAATATTTATTTTGCTTCTTTAATTTCTTTTCGAATCTTTGAGTTTGGCCATTCAAATGGGATCAATCTCCACAAGCTTGTGTCTTCAAAAGTTTTGTGACTACACTATTTTCTCTTTGACTGCACAGTAACTTAATGAACTTTATAAACAATTGTCTTAATTTCGATCTTTTATTCTTAATTTTTTTTCCTTTTCCTTGATACCATATCTATTTGTTATCATAGTAGTGGTGTTGCGAGACTGATACTAGTGGTAGCAACAACATACATGGTAGTGTTGATTGTGATGGAAGTTGATAGTAACAACAGTAGTGATGGTATAATAGAATATGAAGTATATGATGTTGGAGACAGATATGGCAATCAATAGCGATGGTCATTGCTGAGTAGTGGTCGTGGTAATTAAATTGAGACTATATATTAAGGGAAGTAACTATATATATGCTGTTTTCTTTGTATATAAATCAAATTATATCAGGCAGTAAAAGAGAGTGTAACTAGTGATTGGAGGTATGCGGTTGTGCTAAAAATTTAATAGGAACATTTTTATTGCCGTTGTGGTTTTACTTGACCAAATTAATTGATTAATTGATGAACCGGTAGAGATATTTTAAAAATAAAAATAGAGCATATTCGTGTGGTTAGCCACCACAAACGCGCATCGAATAGAAGGTTTTCTTTTCCTGCCTGCACATGGTGTTAGAACTTAGAACCCACAAAAGGACGATTGCTTTGGTTAATTTGTATGAAAAACAAACAGGCCTTGTTAGAGAGATATAAAATAATTAATTTATAAAATAATTAATTTAGCCTCACCTAATATCTTAAGATTTTGGGTTGAAATGGTTCTTTACATGGTATCAGAGTTTCAGTGACCACGAGGTCACAAGTTCGATCCTCATTGCCCCCACTTTCAAGTGGAATTAAGAAAAACACAAGGCAGACAAACAAAAAAAGCTTCAAGCCCAAAGGGCTCTTACGTGATGGGTGTGTTAGAGAGTGATAAACCTTTAGTTTGTCTTGTTTTATAGACTAAATTTACATGCATTATCAAGTTAAATAGGTGGAAACTAGGGTTTATTGATGTAAAAACATGAACTATGTGAATTATGAATTAAATGATTTATATTTGCTTATTTTGAAGGTAATTGATGTTAAACGGAAGCAAATATAACACCTTGAGATATAGAGATCAAGACCTGAAGATATAAAGATCTCAATTGAAGAAAATAAAGAAAATCATGTTTCTTGAAGAGGAGGCTTAAGCCTCCAATTTGGAGCTTAAGCCCCCAAAACTACCAAAGCCTCTGCCTAAGAGTGCTTAAGCTCTCAACTCAAGGCTTAAGCGCGAAACAAGTGTAAAAATTCCTATTCGAAGAGGGCGCTTAAGCGCCCTCATATCAATCTGCACTACTGTCCCAGAGGGCTCAAGCGCCCAAAACGACCCAACTCAGGCCCATTCAAAGTATCCACTTAGGGCACAGATTCCTTGCCCATAAAAACACAATTTGGGGCAGAATTAATTACTTTTGATACTTTTTGACATTCTTGACAACCAGAGGCAAAGTAGAAGCAGAGAAAACACCAGTTCATGTTCGTGAAGATCGGAGACAGATCAGAATCAAGCCTGCACTGGAATTATTGAAGAATTCACCATTCTAATATGGAATTTGGGGGAGCTTTCTTAATTCTTTTCTTTCTTGATTTCACTATGTCCGGCTAAGTTCTTATAGTAGTTATGGTTAGATGGAACTGAATTAATCTGTTTTGTTTTGAATAATTCTTTATGTTAATTTTCCTTTTTATTATGAATGAAATTATCTTTCCTTAATGCTTTCTATGAACTTGAATCTTATAGATTGATCCTAGGCAATTGTATGGCAATAGGAATGTTGGTGCATGATCTGTATCTGACAATTTCATCGTAATCCTTATGATTCTAGGGATAGACATAGGGTTTTGCGCAATTTTAAGATTCTTGAACTTAATGCTTATTTTCTTGGGGAATAATCAGGGAACTAGTGTTCTTGTAAGATTGTAAAGATTTAGGATGTCAACGAATTGAATCCTAATTAAATTAAAAGAATCGATTGAATTGATATTAAGGATGATTAACTTAAAGAATGAACTCAAACATATTAGAGAGGTTGAGAGAAATCGAAACTCTAGCTTCGTTGTTTTCTGTCAAGTAATTCAAATCTTTAAATTCTTGTTCTTGTTCTTGCTTTTAATAAGTTTTAATATTTTCAATTCCAAAGCAAATTTTGATACAAATACAATTTTGATTGTCCAACTTAAGTCGAAGTAGTGAATTAGTGATTGAATTATAATCCTCGTGGGAACGATCTCTTACTTAATACATTATATTACTCGTACGACCAGTGCATTTGCCGTGATCGCTAACAGAGAGATATAAAATAATTAATTTAGTCTCACCTAATACCTTAAGGTTTTGGATTGAAATGGTTCTTTACAGGCCTTCAGCCTCATTTTTTCACATTTAGTGTCTAAATAAATGAGCTAGAGTGGAATGAGAGATATATTGTATCCCTCAAGGGATATAGTATCTTGATTTATGAGTATCTATGGGGGTTAATGGAATGAATAACCAAAGATTTTTGAAAGTCACCATAAGTGCAGTCGCAGGAAAACTCTGAATGGGGGAGTGTGTATAGGCTACGATGGCTATAAAATTCGGCAGAATAACTGCTCATAAAAGTATAAGATATTAGGTGTCTCTTCAATGGCACAAGATGAGTTTATATAGCTGGGAGAATATTTTGTGAAAATGAGAGGGAGGTGAGCCAAAACCATTAGCCAATTTCTCACAATTGCAATAAGGTGCTACCTCACCATCGTAAGTGTAGAATGGTGAACTGTGCAGAGGTGACCCTAAAGTGAGGTGTATGAGCTCATAGTGAAATGTTGAAGGGTTGAAACTTTGATGATACTCAGATGGCCGGCCCATAATAATGAACTTGTATGGGATGCCGAGAACAATAAGTACGTAATTTCCTACATTCATTGTTGTGGATAAGGGTGTCAAAACGGGTTGACACGACACAAATTTGACACGACACGAATTTGGCACGACACGAATACATCATCACGAACACGACATGAATTTTTGTTCGTGTCAAAATCTTCAACACTGACACGATACGGATTTTTTGCTTGTTGACACGACACGAATAACACGCAAAATAGGGGTCAAAACGGTAATTGACAACAAAATTTAAAAAAAAATGGTTCAAAATTTAAAAAATTTAAAAAATAATAATAAAAAAATAAAAATAAAATAATTAAAAAAAATATGGGTCGACACGAACACGAATACCTCAACACGAACATGACACGAATTTTTACGTGTCATTTTTTCAACACGAACACGACACGAATTTTTTACGGGTTAACACGAACACGAATTTTCGTGTCGTGTCGCAGGTCGACCCACGTATCATAACCTATATTGACACCCCTAGTTAAAGAAAAAATGCATTAGGAGACAACCTTTTTGTCTAACATTCAGCTTTTAACATTTAACGTTCACCGTTGTGCATATATGCAAAGGATTGAATAATTACTCTCCTTGCTTTCTTATTAATATAGTTTATACTTTTAATTATCAAATTCTATATAAATCAATTTTCACAACACTAAGATCAAATCCAAGCAATCTGAAAATCACATATGGAATGAAATTGAATAAATTATTATAAAAAGCAATGCTAGGAGAACCTTTACTATTATGCTAGCGGTGATGATAGCAATGTAGTATCTATGATGCATTACCCTTGTTGTATACTTGTGTTGTGTCCTCTTTACTTGTGGGATAGATACTTCTTGTGTCACTCTTGTTCTGAACACCACATGCCACATGGGGTGCTTGCACATGGCAGATGCAGATGACATAAATAGGTGTTAGTATGTTTATATGCCTATGAATCAAAAGTGGTCCTATTCACATGGCAATAATTGGTAACGTGCAATTGCCAAATCTTCTTGTTAGAGGAAGGTCATTTTGTGTCATGGTGCATACGCAGCCACGGCATTTCCAAGGAAGAGTCAAAGAATCTGGAGCTCAGATTCAATAATGCTCCAAAAAATAATTTTAACTCCATCCCAAATTCCCAATATTTTATGCTTTCGATGAAAAAAAAAATGACATTTCAACTTTATCAAGCTGAAATATAATAAACAAACTGGAAACAAGACCTGACAACTTCTGTGCCACAAATGTCAAATATATACAACTATTTTATACACACGGTACATCTTGAATTCTGCATATCTATAATTTTAAAAACTTGTAAGGATTACATCATCGTTTTCTTTAAATTCATATATAATTCAATCATTATTTAATACAAATTGCATTTTCTTTAATATTCACATGTATTTTTTATATGTATAATGGTTGAAATCGAAATTTGTTTATGTATGAACCACAATAAGAGATAATTATGTTGAATTGAAAGAAAACGAGCACCACTATCATTGCAAATGGAATCACACAAATCATTTAACCTTCACTCTCATACACTCTCACACATTCACACACACATAAAAATATATATATGGAAGATCAACAACTACAATTTAAACTCTCATACATGGTTAAAACGATCAGAAAAAAGTTAAAAGATAAGGTTACATTTCTATTAAGTGATTGATGCCCTAATAAAGAAAAAATGGTTAAAAATAAAATTCTAAAACACTGGGTCTTATTACCTATGATATGAGCGTATATATGTATACAATCTGAAACCCAAAATATATATTAAAAAAAAAAAAAAAAACACATGTTAGAACTTCTTCTTACTAACTATTAAGCACTAGATCACTCTACTCATTCTTCTTTTCTTTTTGTGATATAATTTTTTATTATATTTTTTGTCTTCTTTGTGTACGTCACATGTTAACAAAAGCGTGGCACGCCCGAAGATGGTTCGTAACAGAACGGAGCCGCCTGCCACTTCTTAAAAACCATTTTTTCCGGCTCCGAGATCTGCCGGCGCTGCTGCTGCGGTGGATCCTCCCTCGGCTGCTGCGGCGGTGGCGGCGGCGACGACGCCAGTGGCGACAGAAGGGGAATCGCCACGTTCCAATCCACGGCGCGGTTTATCTGTAACGACGACGGTGCGCGGCTTTGCAACCGGCTCGGCTGCCGCCGGCTAACAACTCCGGATCGATTTCTGTGTGCATCTGCCATTGACGGCGGCGACTAGCGGTGGAGCTAAGATTAACGGCGTAAAGAGAGAAAGTGACGGTGGCTAAGAGAGAGAGAAGAGGGAGGTTTAGTGAGAGAAAATAAACGGTGGGAGTGAGGGGTATAAATAGAGAAAGGGGCATGCGGTGCACACGTTGGATTGGCAATCTCAAATGATTGGAGTTGGTGGCTTAGGTTGGCTATGTGGCTCGGCTTTAAAGTATTGTTTTATTATGGGTGTTGAAGGATGTCAAGTGTTAAGTAAATTAACCGTGATAATTGAAGAGAAAAAAAAAATATAAGGATGTTATAAAAAAAAAACATATATAAGGATAAAAAATTATAAAATTATTGTTGTTGATTTATTTATTGATGTTTAAGATCCTCTTATAAGAGAGCATTTATTATGTTTAGGACCACTATTTTTTAGATGATTTCTTGATATAAATCGAAGGATAAAATTAAAAAATAAGAAAAATAAAAAGGATGAAAATGGAAAGAAAAATTATTGTTGTCAGAAGAAGCATCAAGTTATTAGATGGTCCTCGATTATATAAAATATTTCTCTCTCATATGATATTTATTTAAGCTTAACCAGGGATTTATAATTCAAATTCTGAATATATAGCTGTGTTAAATGTTTTATATAAAAAATTTTATTGCCATTGTACTTCTGTTCTACTTGACCGGATTAATATATGAATTGATTGAGAAATCTGAAAAAAAAAAAAAAAACAATATTTTTTCTTTTATTTTTTTTTGAATAAATTATTTTTAAGATATTATTATAAAACTAATCCTTTAGAAAACGTTTTCAACAATTGTCTTTCTTTAAACTTTTGATAATTGCAGCTCTGAATTCTTATAACCATGATATGGAAACATTAAAATGATAGGGGTCCTATTAGGAAACTTTAGTTAGTAAAGTATTGATTGATATACTTTTAATTATTTGAATTTCGTTATTATAATACATTTTAGTATTTTTCTTAATGGAATCTTTCTTATTAAAGTTAAACCTTAATTAAAAATTATTAATAAAGTTTCAGTTTCCGAAGGATTAATGGCGTAATTACTTACCATGCAATTGTTGGTTATTTACCAAAAAATACTCCTCACCGAATATTATGTATTCACTTTGTATCAATCATTTAAAACTCATTATTAGTCAAATAAAAAATTAATAAAATTAATTATTATTATAAATTATCCTGATAATTTTATTTTTAATACAATAGATATGAATAAATATTTTAAAAATATCATATAGTGATTAGTCTAATACTTATGCTTTTATTTTCATTAATCTGCTGACTTTTTTTTACTTCTTTTAAATAATGTTAAGACTTAATTATACTAATGTGCGATTTTGATTTTTCAATTATTTGACAATCTATCATTTAATTAGCAAAAATTAGTAACTTAACAAACAGTTTAAATATATAACATGATCATACTTTAATGAGTTATTCTCTTATTGAACTCATCATTGACTTTAAATTTATTTGAATTCTTCGGTACAAATAGATTAAATATAAAATAATGTATTTAAATATAATAAAATTATATATTTAAATATATTAAACTTATTAAAGGATACATTAAAATGCTTTATTCAAATAAGGTGTCATGCTATGTTCTACCAACGCTGATATAGGACACGACGCGATACGTCGACACATTAATTTTTTTTTAAATGTCACATTTCGACATGTTATGACACATTTTGATATTAAATAATATTTATAATATAATTTACATATAACATCTCATAATAAGTCATATAACCAATCAAATATTCAAATTTTATGACATAAATATAAATAAAAATAATTTTTCGTACCTTGTTAATTTTTTATGTCAAGTTGAATAACAGAAAAAAATTAATTTATAAATTATTTGTTCATGTGTAGTTAAAAAAATAAAATTTAGGCCTAAAAAAATGTGTCGAAACGTTGATTGCGAGTCGAAAAAGCGTGTCGAAGCGTTGATCGTGTGTCCCAAAATATTGACCGCTGTCGGATGCGTGTCGAAGCGAGACAATGTCCAACGCATTTTCGACACGCGTCTAACACGCATTTCTAAAAAAAATTGTGTCTTTGCTTTACTAGTGTCATGCTACATTTATAGACAGTTAGCTACGCCATTGATTTTTATTAGTAATTGGACGAGAGAGGACATGATTTTTTCAATTAAAATATTGAAAGATTGTCTACCAAAAAAAAAAAAATATATATATATATATATATTGAAAGATTTAATTTTAAAAACAAATACAAACCGGATGGATGATTAAATTATCAAATCGAAAGAATTGGATCAAATAATTTTTCCTTTAAAATCGATCCAATCTAGAGTCTTTTAGGCAATTTTTTTTTTATTTTTAAGCTAAATTTTTTTAAAAAACAAAAATAAAATTTATTTGATCATTATATAAAGTTATTTTTAAGATTTTGAAAGAGGAAATAAAACATTTGTTATTAAAGGTAAATTTTTAGGATAAAATGTTAAATTTACAAATATAAGTTTAGAATAAGAGTAAAACTGAAAAATAAATATGAAAATCTAAAAAAGGTAATGTATATCTTAAAGAAAACTTTGTTGGGAATGCGACTTCCATACTCAAGAGAGGGGGTGAGTTAAGTATTACAAGTTTTTCGCAAGAACCCCACTCAAGTTTCTAAATAATCATTTCAAGCAAACTTTGATATATGAAAAGCTAATCAATACATTCAAACAATCTATAACATATAATATGTCATAGTTATAGAGCTTATGCTAGCACATACATAATATCAAAGAAGCAATACCAACAAAGCCCAACATAGTTGGTAGATAGTTGAGTTCCTTAAGCATGTTGATAGGGGTTTGATCCCTTGCAGTGTGTATGGAAAAGGCTCTGACGGGGGAGGTTTACTCACTTAATGTGATTTTCCGCCTCGAAACGATTAGTCTTCGGCTGTCGGCTGGAAAATACCTTGGGAAACTAAAAAAAAGCAATTAAAGTGCTAGAAATAAAGAGTTAAGAGTTTAGAGAATTACAAACACAATATATCCTAGTTCAGTTACCACCACTTGTGACCTACGTCCAGACTGAATCCACTCGATCAAACCTTTCACTAACGGTCAAGCTTCAAGGGTGCTTGACAAACCACTACAATCTTTCAAGATTTCGGGTTCTTTGATATCTTACAACCTCCAAGTTTACGAGTACTTGACAACCTTATATTCTCTCCTGATTTACTTAGATATTTGGCTATCTCTCAAATACAATGGGTCTCACAACCCTTTCAACTCAAGAATACAAAAGAAAGGTGTTTGAAAATAAATATACACTCTCAAAGTGTAGATATACAACTTGAAGCACTATGGGTATATAGTTTTGACAATATAAGCTCAAATATATTTGATCTTTGAAAGATATGAAAGAATATGCAAATGATAGTGTAGAAACTCTCAAAGTATACTTAAGGTGTGTTATAATGGTGCCCAATTGGTTCTGGAAATGTATATATAGCGATTTTACCAAAAATTATCCGTTTATAGTTGTTGGAACACTTTCTAGACAAAAAGTAATTAATTACTTTCATATGCAACTTGACAACAAAAATATTATTTCGTATTTTGGGCATAACTTGAGCTATTCTTGTCAAATTGATGTAATCCAAATCCATCATCTTTGATACAAAAAAATTGTCCAGAAGACAGAAACCAGATTATGCAGCAAATCTAAATTTCAACTTGCTTCCAACCACTTTTTATGAAAGATATTGAGTTGATAAATATGTTTTGAAGTTATAAAACATGCCAAGGATTTTTTCATGGGTTTTTCAAATTTCTTTCAAGTATATAAAACCATGGATGATGCATGTATGAAAATAAGTTTCTTTGAGAAAAGCTCTGAGCTCATATAATGCACTCTACCATATACTTTTACATATCATATCTAAGTCTCAAAAGTGTATTCTAATAAGAAATTGGACTTAACTTCTTGTGTTGATTCTTAAATCTTGATCCTCACTTGAAATTGATACTTTGACTTGTTGGATATGACAATGCTTGGTATTCTGTTGGTTTTGATCCCTTTTCATCATGATTGTCATATTGAGCTTCTTTTAGATGTTGTACATGATTTGTTATCTTTGAACTTGGTGTTGCTCTTCTAATTATTCCTTATTACTCGATCTAATAATCTTGCCACTTTGATATGTCATTACTCTTCTTGTGCGGTTACATCATACATCTTCAATATTAACATATGATTGATGTTTTTTGCTCTTGATCAATGATATTTTCTTTTTGTTGTTGTCACTTTATTATCATCAAAACATACCTCGTGTCTACAAACTTATCTTTAATTTTTTTTTTTTATTATAAGAAAATTTGTTATAATAAAAGTTTTTATAAAAAAAATATTTAGCTAAACTTCTTATAAAGAGAAAAAAGTTAAAAAAAAACATCCAGACAGGTAATTACTACTACACACATAAAAAATATCTGATATATTTTAGCTTTTCACTTCTTCTTTTTTAAAAAGTATCCTTATTTCCTTTTTATTTTGTCATTTGTGTTAAACTTATTCACTCCTATGTAATTGTAATTTGATAATATCAGCAACATCAATATCAACAACATCTTTATCCTAAACTGATTGGAGACGGTGGTAAAAGAACCCAAATGAAAAGTACGAAGGGGTAAAATAAAAAATAAAAATAATAATAATAATATTTATTATTATTATTATTATATATATATATATAGGATCCGATTATATATAGGATCCGTTTACAAATTACACTAATTATGATTGGTCATACACTCTTGATTGAAGTATGAACGATCATAGTTAGTGTAGTTTGTAAGAGTTTGAAAACAAAAAATTTGTAAATATAATTGTCCCCATATATATATATATATATATATATATATATATATATATATATATATATAGGGGAAATATTTCTAGAGCCGTTGTAGATAAGCTTATCTCCGGCTAAGTAAAACTACGTCGTTTTGGTCTAAAAATTAAAAAAAAAAAAAATACTTTGTTTTCT